GGAAGTTACTTGGATAGCCACATGGCTGTGCTGCCACTTGGTCCTAGTCTTATGCTCCTAGAACACTCACAAACTTTAGGCACATTCTGGCATTATATTTAATCCACCCAGCTGCCTGCCTGCCTGGGAGGCCATCATGCAGCTATGGCAGCTGCAGAAAGTGGACTCATCTCTACTGCCACATAGGCCACGCTAAAACTGCTGGTACTACACAGAGATGACAAGCTTCTTTATACCTAATCCATTACTCCCAGACCTACCACTACCAGAATGCATAATCTAGGCTATTTGCTTCATTGGAAAACCAGTTCCATTTCAGTATTTCTGTTATGGACCACAAAACTGAGCTTCGTACAGACAGATCAGGTGTCATCCGTACTTTTTTAGGGCTTCCTTGTATCAGGCAACTACTATCTGGGTTGGCTTACCCTCTCATTTCAAAAGCAGCTGCTTTGTGACTGCAGAAGAAGCTGAAGGTCGTGGTGGGAGGTGTTCTGTGATCTAGGGTTGCCCTAAGAAAAGCAAAAATAAAATCCGTCTGCCTGCATGTCACTACTGATGGTGGGCTTGATGTAAGTAAGGGTCAGTAGCGGTTTATGGAATAAACAAAACAAATCACAAAACAGAAGAGGACTGCAGAGTTCACTACAGTCACTGAGGACATCAAATGGAAGCCTCTCAGATTTCCTTAAACTCAGTTGAAGGGAGAGAGAAATCTGGCAGAAAAAGAGAGAGAGGGAAATCTTCATTCAGATTATGAGGAGGGGAGTGGTAGGACAAGCAGCTAGATAATCTCAAAAGCCACTAAATCTCTGGAAAGAACTGGGCGGAGGGAGGAAAGCGCTTAAACAACATCTTGTCATCAGTATTCCTAGGAAATCCACTGACAATCACAGCAAAGGATTAAAAGATGTTTTAAAAAAATAATAGCTAAATGAACTAAAGAAGTGTCAGAGAAAGTATAAATCTCATTCCTGACCCTGATAGGTCACAGACTGACAGCAAGACCTGTAGCCAGTAGCCCTTTAAAGGAGTAAGTCAGCTACACATGATGGAAGTTCCTGCACTTCAGGTCCTCAGACGGAGGGATTGCTACACAGGGGACTAAAGCCCACCTCTCTGAGAAAGAGGAGTGTTGTTTCTAAATGGCAATAGCACTGCTATTGCCCCCACTGAGTTGTCTTTATACTGCTGAAAGATTGCAAAGCACTTTTCAAACTATATGTCGTAAAATCCACAGAAGGCAATACTGGTGGAAGAAGTGTAATTAGGAAACTCATCCAAAATGCAGAACATGCAAACAACTCAAGAACAGGACGCTCATGGGGACTGGTACAGAGCAGCACACTTTTTTGGAGTTTCAAAACTAAACAGTGCAACAATTACCTTAAAAGCAGGAAATTCAGATGCACAGCTATGTGGTCAGGCATTTAAGGCACACAAACCTGAAGAATCTACGGATCTAAGCAATTACATGACTTTAAACGGTATTTTGCTCAGCTGAGGTAACAGGAGCTTCGAGTTTTACAGTTCACACACATAGATAAATTCCAGTACTCTTCCCTCCAGCTACATCAAACTCACTGAAAGCACAGAACACTCCATGCCCTTCAGAAAGGGACATTCAACATTCCCACACTTATGAGGCTGAAATAAGTAAAAATTTTCTTTCAGTGACACAAAATTACACAAATCCCCAAACAGATTTTATATTGAGCACTACAGCTGTTGGCATCTTTCTCTCAAGACAGCCTGACTAAAGTCTATGGAGAGCACCATCCAGTCACTTCAGATGAACAGAAGTCACCACTGGGGAACCTGCAGTATTCACCTGTAGAGCTGCTTCCTTATCTATGAGGGCTCCATACAGTTTACACGATGTAATGCAGGTAGGTACAAATCCTTTCACACACACACCTGTGAGAGAGCATGTGCCAGTTTTACAAAGCAAACTATAACGTCAAGCAGTGATCAGCTCTCAATTAATAGACTTTATTAGCAACTGAGGCCACTGTGATGCCTCTTCACTACATAACAGCATAATGGCTCTCTTCTCGATAACAGACAGAAAAGTATGATGGGTAAGATCTCATTTCTATGTCTACAACTGCCATTTAACAGAGAACAGACTTTTATTTATCTATGTATATACACACAGACACTGCTTTTCCTCCCCAATCACAGTAAAAATATGCAAGTTTAGTGCAGAATTAAGACTTGATTCTCTCTATTCCCAGTGCAGGAAATTAGTGCTACATAATTCATTCTAACATAAATATATTTGCTGAGACTCCATTAGGTACATTTAACAAAAAGTACAGTTATTATCAAGTCTCACCCCTCGAGCTCTCCTTCTGCTCCTTGAAATAAACTAAAAGCCTACTACCCTGTCTCATTTAAGGCTTTGGATATAACCCATCTCCAAGAACCCAAGTACAAATACTGATTTAGATCTCTTTCATTGGAGAGGAAGATGACCTCCTCCTAAGCTTTTTTTTTTTTTTTTTTGTAACACAGAAGCAACAAACCATCACTTGAATGTGAACTCAATCACAAATTAAAATAAAATATCACATGTCAGCCAGCCGAACTTCATGCACACTGGTAGGGCAGATCCAGACAGAAAGTTCACTTTGCACCTGCCACACTACATTCAGCGTCATTATGGGCAGAGACTTGAAAAGCTAAGCCAAAAAACATACAAAAATCTGAATGTGCAAAGAAACCAAATACTGTTGATCAAATCCCTCTTGATGCTGATTAATAATAAAGCTGGCCAGAACCTGCTATGATTTAAACTTGCACTCTGCTCAAGCACAACTTCAGGGAAGACTGACAGAACTAGAAGCTGAACCACAGGTGCAGAAAAAGCTGGCTGGGTCTGTGAACTGCCTTCATGTCATGCAGTGATGTAGAACAGTGCATGGTTGTTGGGAACAGGAGCCAACCAGTTACACAGTGATCACTCAGGTCTTCTGTTTGTTTTATGAGAAAGAGGTTTTACCAATTAGATTCAGATAAATCTTTCTAAACAGGAAAGAATATATATATAAAAAGATGCTGTTAGAATTAGTCAGAACCACAGTCAACCAGTAAGGTTTGTGGCTTCAGGAGAAGTAAAAAGTTGCCACCAGCTAACGTGCAAGACAGTAAGGATGAGCCATCTGGTGAAGGTTCCTGCTAAGCTTGCCATGTAACCCCCTTTGCTGAGGAAAGCAGAAGGGGAATCAGTTACATTCTGTCCTCGCCTGCAATTGCGTGGCCAAGTTTAGAACAAACACTAGGCTTTCCAGCACAACCAGAAATTTTAACTGTTCAGAGTTTTCAGCAGCCCATTTTACTCTTAATGCAACCCACAAAGCATGAGCTAAACTATTTAAAATAAAACTCATTTATTCAATTTCTGAAAGCTGAATTTCTCCTCAAGCTTTATCAACCCTTGTTGTTTATGTCCTTTGTTTCCTTCTGCAAAAACTGCAACTGCCAGGAGGCTTCCAGTCATCTAAAGAGCATCAGTAAACAAGAGCAGAGACAGATGGCTGCAGCTCAGTATAAAACAGCACTACACCCAGCCTCTCCTGCACTGCTAGCGCTCCCTGGAAGATACAAACGTATGCATGAGACCAAACAAGAATGCAGTAGTCCCAGATAGAAAGCAAGTACATATCTGTAATCAGAGAAGGAAGAAGCCACTATGAGGACAGGATGCTGAGGTTCCACGTACAGTGAACATTCATTTCAACTGTACAGCCTCTTCTAATCAAATAATTGGTTACAAGGATGGCAGAGGGCATGAGGAAAGATTTCTCCCCTGCTGCTGCTCCCAGAAGCACTGCTGGCAAAACAAACAAGCGGAAAATCAGCAGGGAAAGTAAAACCAAGAATCTCCTTTCATCAGTTACTTTACACCAAATGTACAGAGGCTGAGAAAGTAACATCTCTGATAGGACTCATTCACCTGCTACTTCAACAATTCAATCACGTTAACAAATAGGTTAACTCCTTATTAAAATGACTTAAAGAATAAAAGAAAAACACAAAGTAACTCACAGATCTAGAATGACAGAAGTCTGTCAAAACAACCATACTGCTCTTTTGTTCCTAGATTTGATTCTTTTTCATTTACTGCATAGGAGACCAATGGCAGTGTTAATACAAGATACTGCCTACAATAATGTACAATTATGTATGTCGCCTTGCTGAATAGATTGAGGTGTCCACATGGGTTCCGTAAGTTTATTTCAATTGACATCGATCACTGTTCACTTCTTCCACCACCTCGAAATTCACTGCAATTCCACAGACATCTGCACGCCTGAATGTTTTACACAAGAATGAGTTCAAACACGGCCCATTCTTCCTCAAACAAAAATTCTGATTCTGCTAAAATTAAATTAAGAGCATTCCCTCAGGGCTTCCTGATAACTCACAGTTATTCCCTCACTTAGTGACAGCAGAAAGCTTCAACAGGGTTGCACAATCATCACTTCCAATCAGCAATAATTGAAGGATGACAGAATGAGAATCTGGCACTCCAATTAATACAGGCAGGAAAAAACAAGACTGTGGAAAGAGTATGATTATTGGTAAAGCTCCAGCAAAACCCTCAGGCTGTAGCATGTTGACATGCTACCACCTCGGAGGCACAGTTTAACTACTCCTCAGTGAAAGAGTAAGAGGAAAGGAGTGATCTGTATAGGAATACTGAACAGTTCTGGCCCCCTTTTACCTCAGCAATCACACCAAAACTTAAAGAGCTGATTAACATCGGACTCAGCTGATCCTCTCAAGAGAAGACTGAAGAGAATTCTGAGGAGTACTTCTGTAGGACTTTTCTGAAACAGAACAACTACAAGGTAAACAGATTTTTCACACTGAACAGTTCCCCTCTTTGGGTGATTCAACCAGGTTCATCTAGAAAACCTCTCCTATGAATGTCTGTGATGCCATTTCCTACCCTATGCATTCAAAAAAAAATAAAATGGAAAGCTGGTACACACCTGCATCTCCATGGAAGAGGCTGTCATGATGACATCTCCCAGAAGGCAAATCTCCATCACTCGGCCAGATCTGTCCCGTTTTTCGTACGCCCACAATAGTAGCCTCAGATACAATGACCTGCTGCTGCCTGTGCCGTTTCTGAGACTGGGGAGTTGGTGGACTGCTACTGTCAAAGGACTGCTGAGAGTTCTGGGAGGGAGAACGACTTTTATCCCGATACATGCGGTAAGTGGTAGGGCTGGGGGAGACGTGGCTGGACTGCCCTGAAGAGAAATCTTCCTCACTGGAGGTAAGGTTCTCATTAGAGCTACAGTCAGGAGTATACCCTCCTCCAATGTCTTCAAAACTCCTGGGGGAATAAGATCTCCTGGGCCAAGTGAGATGTTTCTCCTGGTCCGCTGTACCCTGATTTCTCAGGATAGGTCCTTTCCCTTCTGTCTCCCCCATCATTCCACCAACATAGATACTTTGATAGGGTTGAAAGTCCATGGGCTGCCAAGGTGAGCGGTTGCTGCCATTGGCATTTATCAGATTATCTTTGAGAAACCTGGGGTTCAGTTCAGCATCTTCATATTCTCCATCATAGCCAAAACTGCTCTCTGAGGACCTCCCCCTGTAAGCAGGCCGCTGGAATTCATTGAAGCTGGGTACCATGTTTGAAGGAAGGGAGTGTAAGGACTTTTTGCGTTCCATTTGCATGGCTTGACTACCAAGAGAGCTTATTTTATCAGAAACATCTTTATCGTTGACCTTCACTAGACCTTTCTCATGATGATACTCCATGTTTACATAAAAGGGTTTTTCAACAACATCCTTGTTATCTCCAGAATGATGCGAATTGCCCTTTTTAATCCTCTCAAAATTGGACCTTAGGGCTGCCACACTGGTGCTGTTTCCTCTATCCTTGGAAATAGGTTCAAACAATCCCTCCTTCTCAGCAGATCCCACCAGCCTGCGAGTGGAAGACGATCTGTGTTTTGAAGGAGATCCATCTGTGTCACAGCGACTTTCTGTATCTTCTGCAACTCTCTTCAATTTCTCCTCGCCATAATACTTACACCTGTCCTGTTCTCCTTCTCCGTGATGGGGACTGTCCAAAGGTGACAGGTCTGACCCATCGCTCTGGGTAGACAGCTTTCGCACAGAAGGCATCCTGGGTTTGAACTTTTCCTCCCCATGGTGCGACTTGCTTTTTTCATGTTCATCTTGGTCAGCAGACTGGTGATGAGGCAGGTCTTGGACCTGCTGGTCAGCACCCCCTTCAGGCAACTGAGAAGCACGTTTAAAGCCCCATCTCTGTCTATCATAGCTTTTTTTCTCCTTTGCCAGAAGAGTCTGCAGGTAAATCATGCGGAACCTCTCCTTGTTGACCTCCATCTCCAGTCTCCGGATGGACGCTTTGCACATCTCCAGCTCCTGTTCAATATCTCCCACGGATTTCAGCTCCATTTTAGGAGGCTCAGAGTCTGCAAACTGCGCTTTCCAAGCCTCTACAAACCCCACAGGGTCCACCATTTTGCATACAGGAGTAAGTGGAGAATAAGGGAAGGAAGCTGGAGAGAGATAGGTGGAGAGAATAAACCAGCCGATCTCACATGTAGAAGCTGAAACAGCTCCGACAGGGTCAACTCAACGCGTTTCTTCACGGTCCATGCAGAGAAACTGGGAAGCAAACGGCGATCCTCGGAACAATCTCTCCTCCTCGCCTCCTCCACCTCTTGCCGTCCCCAGCCCCCCGTACGCTTGCTACTCTCCCCCCGTCATGACTGATCCTTCGCTAGCGAACAACAACGCTCCCACCCCGGCGACTCCATAGCACTTCAAAGGGAGGTGGACAAAGGAGCGGGCTCGGGGCGGGGGAGGAAAGGTAAATATCGCCCTCCACCCATCCACCCACCCACCCACCTCCTGCCTCCGCCGTCCCGGCCACGGTCCTCAGCGCCGCCGCGCTCAGGAGCCCTCCGCTCCGTCCTCCCCTTGCTAGTCCCTGTGTTGTGCTTTCTCTTTCTCTCTCCTCCTTTCCCCCTGCCCCTTTCCCTGTCTCCTCCTCCCGGCTATTGTGCTGTCCTCCGGGCGCACACGCTCTCCGGAGCGTCGGCGCGTCCCGCGGAGATCCCCGCCGCTACCCCTCGGTGCCCGGACGCCCCGCGGCCCCACGGGAGCCCCCTCGGCGCGGCTCTGACGGCGGTCGGCGGCGCGGCTCCGGCGGCTGCCCGCGGCTGCCCATCGCGCGGCCCGGCTCTGGCGGCGGCACCCCGAATCGCAGCGCTGCGGAAGGGGAGGAGAGGAAAGGAGCCGGGCGCGGCGATTGACACGGCGCCGGGGCCTCTCTTAAAGGGGCAGCCTGGGCCGGCGGAGGGAGGCCGTGCCCGCGGGACCCCGCCGGGCTCGGGGAAGCCGGCCCGGGGCCGCTCCCGCCGGCACGCTCGAAGGCGGCCGCCGGGGAGACAAAGGCGCGGATTTGCACGCCGTGTAAACGCCCGTCCGCTCGCGCTTGCGGCCGCGGACCGCTCAGCAACCGAGCCGGGCTCCAACAGCCCTCGGCTCGGACGAGGCACGTCCCTGTGTGCGCGGACCGCCCCTGCATCCACGCCCTCTCGTCCCGTGTATAAACGGAGCGCCCTGCCCGGTGCTCGGAGCGGCGCTCCCCTCGGGCACTGATGCAGCTCGCCTTCAAAGGTCACGTTTGCCCCCACAGCTGCAAAAGCCGTTAATTAGTGGGCGCTTCCTTCACTCGAGCCTTCCTTCACGATCGGGTAAGCTGATAAATGACAAGCTGGTACTCAAAATAGCTACGATAGTAGTAACCAAACCTGCTTTGTTCCATCATCACTCTCACTTTTGCCTTATATATTATGCTAGCCAAAACAATTCAGAGCACTGCTCTCTAGCTCAGAGTGAAGGGTGGTGAGCTATGACCAGAAGTTTGGCTGCTTACTCTCCTGCTTCTCAAACCATGGCACACAGCCTTGCTTAAGCCCTTTCCACATACTAATTCAGCCCCTGGAAAAGTGGAATTACAGACATATTTATCACCGTATTTCCTTTCTGGATGATGAGAAAAGTGAAACGTTGCACATCTCAGTATCCCTCATAAACCTGCTCCTTTTATGTCTGACGTGGGACAAACCACACAAGTGACGTATATCTTTTCTCATATGTTTTTTGAGAAAAGACGGTGGAATATAGCACCAGCAACAAGTGGTGCAATTCCTTAAGAGTGAGAAGCACAGAGCCAGAGGAGCAGTTCTCTTACCTTCAAAATATGCAGTGCTTCACAACCCACTAAACCATTTTCCTCTCCGTGTTCTGAGACAACACAAAGTATTTTCAGACATCACAAATGGCCAATCATGCGTTCAGCTTCAAATAGTGCATCCCCCTTGCTGTTTGTTTCCTGCCCTTAACCTCTTTTCCTGCACCTGTTTTCTCAGCTTTTAACACATCGACTGATCTATACAAAAAAAACCAGATTATAATCAAAATCATAATAAAATCTGTATACCAAGTCAATACCTATACAAGCCTTCCAAGAAATCTCAATGTTTCACAGGAAGACAACTTGGCTTTTCACCATTGCTACTACTTGCCTTCATGCCTGTTTGACCACTGACATTCTGATATGCAATGTATTCCTAGTAAGGTTAACTTTCAGACTGTGCTAGCATGGTTGTAATACTGGCACATACATTACACCATGGGGATGCGTTGTGAGTCTGGAGACTGCTTTTAATTCAGTGCCATTGGTTTTGTTGTTATTTTTAAAATTATTTCTGGAGTGTTTTCTATTTGGGCTCACTTTTTTCATATCTGTGCCATCTCCAGCTGCATCAAGATTTCTTATGGATCATAGGAGGCCTTTCTGTATGCACAATTCACTTGTGGCAAATACTGTTAAACAACTGTATCCTCTGTATTTCTTGAGGTACAAGGTCAGAAATTCAAGCGGTCTCTGAATTGATGCTGTTCCTTTATGCATTCATTTTAAGAGATTACAAAATTTCATTAAGGCCATAGTGGCAGACACGTATCGGTGATTTGTAGCAGCGAGTGCTGTGCTGAGGGGGCAGTGCGTATCCAGCCCGCACCCTCTGCTGCCTCGCCCGGCCTTTCCAGCAGAAACAGAGCGAGCACCGAACTGACCATGGAGCTCCCTCTTGTGGGAAAGAACAGCTGATGCGCTTGGCGTTTAGAGCGCTGGAGCTTCACAGTTACGAAGTTTGCGGTTGGTTTGGGGGTTTGTTTTTCTGTCTGTGTCTCCCAGCGCGGGAGAATCAGGAGTATTTGTAAGAAAAAAGAACAAAAACAAAAACAAACAAAAAAAAAAAAAAACGAAGCACAGAAGTGGGGGCTTTTTAAGGAGAAACAAACCCTGATTTCTGATAAACACGTGGCTGAAATTAAGAGCTATCTTTGTAGCGTAAGGTAGCACTCACTTTTGTGGTAGTTTGACATGACCAATAATCTCCTGAAGTCCTGTCCAACATACATCACACTACAGAGGAAATGGTTCTGAAACTGGTGCTATCAACACTATGAAGGCTTCACCTGGTAAAAAAAATTATGTTTTAGCTTGCCTACATTCAGAGTTAACAGAATTGTTCTGACACTGCTTTCCACAATCTGAAGGCTTTCCAAAGCAAATTGAAATTGCTGATAAAATGGATCAACAAGCATAGATGCAACATAAACAAGATAAAAACATTTAAGAACTTGCAATCTGATATTTCTTTTCCCACCCAAGGTTAGGCTTCCCTTTGTGCTTTCCTAAGCAATCCATCAATTGTAAGATCTAAGATTCATTTTCGATGATCAATTATTTATACTTTGCAGGGGCAGCCTCACAGGGGCTTAAAAAAGGTCTCAAAGCATCCTTCACAGCTTGAATGGAATCAGGCCATCTCCAGAGGATAGCTGCTGACTAACAGACTAATGCAGTTTTGGGTAAAGTTTTTGGAACTACGGAAGATACAAACCACTAATGACCTCAAGCAGTGTACTTAATCATTAGGAAAACTGTCCCAGTTGATTTTCAAAATAACACAACTGCATTGCTGAAGAGATTATATCTCTAATTTTGTACGAGAATTACAGTCAGCAACAGAGTCTGTGATTTATCTTCTTTATTTACTTCAAGAATTATATATATATAATTTACTTCTGATTCATTTTACACTGTAGGTACCAACCCTGTGTCTGCACTGAAACCTAGCACCTACCTAGCATAGACAGGAAGACATCCTGCAAAACCTGCCTTTTGACCTCCAGGACCGTTATCAGTGCTCCTAGGAAAGAGGCAGACCAGTAACTGCTCAGTAACAGCCACATGAAACTACAAGGATGCACCATGGGTATAGATAATACTCAGCAGAAGGACTGCTGCTGCAGCCACACTGAACTTGTCCACCCTACAGGTCAGTTACTGTCCTTCCAATGACAGTAACTGGTATTGTGTCCAAGTTTTCTTCTCTGACACACTTCAGGATTGCTCAAACTGCATAACAAGACTGCTTATGTCCAAAAAATATATAGATGCAAGCACAATTTGGTCAGAAATCCAGGCTCGAGCCTGTTCATCATGGTAGCAAACAGCCTTGAAGCACATCTTTAGAATAACTACTATATGAATTACTTCCTCTTACAATAACATCTTTAACAAGGAAACAAACTGAGAATAAATGGATGATAACAACACACAAAATTCTGAGTTTCAAATCAGTTCATAGAAAATTTTCTATGTGCAAACAAAGGATTTTAATACTATTTTTAAGAGCTTCTACCAGTAATATGAGGTTAGCAGTACTCATGCACTCACAGCACAGTATGAAGCAATGGCCATGTGGCTCTAATGGCTTGTAAAATTGCTTCTGAAAAGCATCACAGAAATGCAACGCGTTTTATATGCATGCACTATACACAGCAGTAGAATGAAATGTCTTTCTACTCTCATTCAAGCTCAGTTAGCACAAAGACTGTGGCTTTGGTGCCCACTCAGTATCAGACACAGTACCAGTGGAGCGTGTATTCATCATCCTGTGAAAGAGATGCAGGTCAGGATATTCCACAGTCAGACTCCTTACATACCCACATATTCATCTTCTTTACCAAATGCTACATTGTTGACCTTGCCAACAGAATCAATTGCAAAAGAGAAAAAAAAAAGAAAAAAAAGATCCTACATCTCTATTACATTATTTGTAATTGCTCTAGCTTACATCACAAGCCACGGAAAAATAGAAGTAATTAAAAGGCTGCAAGCCACCTTTCCACTCACTTTTTCATAGAAGACAATTTTAGATGAAATAAATGGTTGAGAATCTAGAATATTTTTAGCTCAGAATCATAGGACTGTTTGAATTGGGCTAGATGACATTTAAACCTTGAATGCCTGCAGGAGCAGAGCAGCACCACCTCACTGAGCAACCTGTGACAGTACCTCACTGCCCTTGCTGCAGAAAACTTTTTCCTTATAACCAATCTAAATCTCCCCTCTTAATTTGAACCCACTGAGACCTGTTGAAGACTCTGTGCCCTTTGTTCCCATATTGCTCCCTTTAGATTCTGACAGGCCGCTCTCAGCACCCTTTTCTCTGAACTGCCATTTGTATTCTGTTCCCATGAGGATGCAACTTCAGTAATCAAGATTTCTAGAGAATTATCAAAACCCAACATGATAAAGTTACATAACTTTTGACTACAAGTTTTTCTGGCAGACAGATGAGCACACGGTGCTGGCAATGTCTTCTTGCGCTGAGACAAGGATGTCATATTTCCACTACACAGAGAAAAGTTCATGTAACAATACCATCCAGCACAAGCAAGTCTTCAACAACAAGAGAGCCCTCAGAAAGATAGTTTGAATAATATTTTTCTCCCTCATTTCTAAAAATGCAAATTTTTACTTCTGATTTTAGAGCTTTTGTTGTTGCAGGTGCTGTATGTTGGACTACAGAGCAGTGTGGCATTTGCAGAAAGAGTTGAAAATCAGCAGCAACTTGAGCTTTCTTGAGCTTTGCCTTCTGAGATTTCCATCAGGTTCTGTTCCAGCCCTGTAGAAGCCAAAAAGTTATAAACTCAGTTCATAAGACATAACATCACCCAATATTAAAGCTAGTAAGAGTTGAATGAAGCCCCTCAAAAGACTGCAGTTAATATGCTTGCAGTTGTGTGAGAGAGGCTTCAGTGCTCAAAAAACCTCCCCAGTCCTTGATGCAAAATACAGACAAGCAAAACTTAACGTACTGATGAGGTCTCCTGTCCCAATTTGAGCCATGTGCCCCGTAGTTTTCTCCAGCTCCCTCATCATGGACTGTTCAAAGGCCAAGGCAGCAACTCGGGAAAAGAACTCTTTGACATTTTCCCCTAGGAAACAGAACAAAAAGGATGCGTTTTTGCAACTGCACATCAGTGCCTGATCAGGTACGAACAAGCACACCTGTGAACAGACCACTGCTTAATACTGGGAAGGATCAGGCATCTCCACCAACCTGTCTTCTGATCACTGCAGGGAGAAATTCCCTTTTTTCCCTACTCTAGAATAATGCACCCTTTGTTTGGTTGGTTTTTTGTTTGTTTTAAACTCAGCAACAAGGAGATCTCGGTTTGTGGCACAATATTTTCATTCCTAATCAAGTAAAAGTGCATACATGTCTTTAAGTAATCATCCATGAATTAAACATGCTTAGACACTGCAGTAGCTTAAGCACACCTTTCTGTAAACACAACAGTGAAAGCACACGTGCAGATGCTTAACTGAAAATCAACCATTGATAAATATGAAGTCTTGAAAGCAGTAAAATGCAGCAGGATCTTTAAAAATACACTGAAATAAAGGTATAAGGAACTTCAGCATCCTTCCACTTTAACATTAGCCTCTTTGGTTACATTATTTTTATACCTTTTGCAGTAACTTACCTGTTTTGGCTGAAACTGACCAGTATTCTGCCTGCATGTCATTGGCAAAGCGGATAGCATCCAGCTCTGTCCTTTCACAAACAGCATCTGACTAAGTAAAAACCAAGGAATACCTTTAGCATAAGAAGCATGCTGGTAATAACACAGAAGTAGTGCTAGCACCTACACTGGGATGCTTCCTGTTCTCACTGTAGCATTTCTGTCCTTCCCTGGGAACTCCTGCAAGCAGACAGCTGAAGTATTCAGATGCTTGGAAAATAAATTACTTAACTTGGAAGCCCCCATCTACTTTCTGTTACATGAAGCAAAGCAACAAGGGCAACAATTGTACCTAGCTATGCAGCATGGTACAGAGCAACAAAGAAAACAGCACAGTCATTGGTCTTCAAATTCTTGTCCAATCACTTGCCTTCAGCAGAAAGTCACAGGACTGAGTAATCATAATGATTTTTTTTGTTGTTGTTTAGTCCTTCTTACTTCTGTCTCAGATCCTTTTTTTCTACTCAATCTATTCTTAATATGCTCAAATACAAAGTTTTCTCTCCACACCTCCTGTTTTTTTTGTTTTGTTTTGTTTTGTTTTTAAATTTCTCTTATCTCTTCTTTAAGACTTCTTCCCCCTTTCATACAGTTTTCTTTCTTGCACCTCATTTTCCCATTCATTTGCTACCTGTGATCAGTCATATCAGTATCTTGCCATTTGCTCACCACCAAATCTTTTTTTGTTCCAACCAGAAAGATGAAGATGGAATTTGGCTCATTTTCTCTCAAAGCATCTTCCAGCCACTGTCTGAAAAGCAGAAGAGAGATGAGAAAATCAGTCAGAGGCAGTATGGAATAATTGAGACAGAGACACATAACAGGGTAACAAGAAAAGCCAGAGAGTGAGCTGATGCAAGAGTGCCAGAGGCCTTTTGTTTGTTGTCTTTTTTTTTTTTTTTTGAGACAGAAAGGGAACAGGAGCTATTCCAACTGCACCGAATGCATGCCTTCCACTACTGAAAAGTGGAAACATGCTCACAGTAGAGTGTAAATTCTACAATTATATTAATACTCAGAGACGAGTATAATAATACTCAGTATAATGGAAAAGGCAAAATTTTTACAGTGATAATGAAAAAAAAGAAGCAGAAGAAAAAATTATAAACAACATAACAGATTAGGCAACAAAGGGAGAAAAAAAGAGTGTAATAACTTCTTCAGTAAGATTATAAAGCATCTCCCCCAATTGCATGACTCGTCTCATAAACCTGTATATTTTTGTTACTCTGGCAACCAAGTTCCTCTGGAGTCATCCAGCACAAGGCAAGGAAGGAAGAGTGCGTGGGGGCAGAAATCAGGTTCAAATGTTTCAGTTATTTTCATTCAAGCAGATACACACACACAAATATATGTGTAATTTTATGAAGTCTTTTGTGGATGCATTAAATGCCACAGCAGTAGTCTGAGGAAAGACCCCAGTACACATTTGAATAAGACAAAGTACAAGCTGTGGAAAGACACGTATCTGCTTTACTGTCATAACAGCATGATAGAACATGTCAGCTCTCAGCCTGGTGACAGCAGTGTGGATCACAGATTCACAGTGTTTTGCTGCCTGTGCTTAAAGTGAAGCAAGTTTACTCACATCAGCTGGTGTGCTGCTATAAACAAACCATTTTAAGTATTGAACTAATACATCTTGAATTAAAAACGCAAGGTCTGTGTAGGTATATAACACTCTCAGGATCCAGCAAGTTCTCAGCAACTGCAGACTGCAATGCAATTAAACCTTCTGTGAAAGCTGTAAAAGCTAAGCCAAAATAAGGAAACTTACTTGGTGTGATCCAAAGTCTGGATATTAGCTAGATCAAACACTGTTATTATAACTGTAATGAAAGGACAGGAAAAAAGTAATTAAGTTTAAAAGCGTATCAGAAATCTCTCCAGTTTAACTCATCTTGTTAAACAGAAATAACACACATACAGTACAACAGTGGATTTAACATGGAGGACTTAGGAGACACTGTTAGGCTGATCCCCCACCCTTCCCAAGACACAGGTAGCAATTTTTAATTTCATCATCACAACATTCAGAACTTGCAACAAATGCATTCATGAGATTTTCAGTCTCTCCCTCTTCCCAGTAACGAAAATGCCATTCCATTGCATGTATCTACATGTGTCTTTCCAAGGAGCATATATAGGTGTATATACAATCTCCTGTTACAGGCAGTATCAAATTAATATTGGTCTCACCCTCTGCTCCTCGGTAATAAGCAGATGCAATGCACTTGAACTTTTCCTGACCTGCTGTGTCCCATCTGTGCAGTGGGGGAAAAAAAGAAACTTCAGGTTGATGAAATCAAGCGTAACCTGAGCAAACATACTAATGAAGCAACAGACTGGTACAAGTTGGTAACACTTCTGTGGTATTACACTCTTCTCCATCTGGAACATGTTATTCATTAACTTCTGATAGAAATACAAGTAAAGCTCTATTACTTAATTAAGCCATTCCAGTTCTGGTTTTATCCAGAGTGAATTTTTTTAACTGGTCATTTTGGAGACTGTTCTTTGAGACACAATTCAAACATTTGTATTCTGCATTGTAATACTCTTTTCTTAAAACATCTCAACTTCATCCACATCACATTTATATCTTTCCATGGCAATCTAATTTTGAAAATGCATTTTCTGCACTAATACCAGACAAATCATACATCTGCTCATGCTGAAGTCTTGCAACTGATACTTTGATAGCAGTGCATTCACAATTCCATTAAAGAATAAATAAGCAAGTAAATAAATAAAACTGAAAAAGGAAAGAAAGAGCTGCTTATCCATGAAGATGATAGACAGTTCTCCCACCTACAGCCAATACTACAGAGGTCTGGGACTTTGTTACAGCACAGCACTGCCACTACTTGCAGACGTAGCTTGTACAGAAATCTCTCAGCAAGAGGGGGCACCAGTGCTTATCGTATGGAAACGTTCTACATCACCACCAAGGAGTCTGAAGACAACATAACCTGAAGTTTAGCAGCCCATGAACCTTATTGTCTCAACTGACAACATACTGACTTATCACTGCAGATTTTAAAGGCATTCAAACTCCAGAAAGGCAGTGCTGAATAGAATTTTCAAAAACAAAATGGCACCGAAATGGATAGGAAATAATTTGTGTGTTTTTCAGTAAATCTCACTGGCCATCTGTTTACATCTCTAGGCACTGATATTTCAGAGAAAATGTGTTCCTAAGCAAGAAGTTTCTTAAGATTCATGCACTAAAATGCTTCATTCAATGAATTGTATCTCTGCTCTGATCATGCTATAGCACAGATAATTAAATACTGCACATTATAGAACAATACAGTTAGCCAGGTAAGATAGCAAAGGACATTCTCCAGTGGAACCAAAGCAGGTGTGAGAAGGCCAGGATTCCCACTAAGCTGATAAACATAGCTAAAAATCAGAAACGTCGCTTAGATCTTTTTGTGATTTAGGGAATGACATTTATTTTGCAATTAGGAGATGCTGAAATAATCAGAGTCCATAAAATTGACTTCAATTACTGCAGGGAACCCCCCAGGCCCCTTCAGAAAGGTCAAGTTCTGTGCTCACAAAGCCTACTAAACCCAAATGGCAGAGTAATACAACACTAGCACCCAACAAGACGAGTTGCAAAAGCTTCTGCTCCTCTTCCACGAAGCTTGAGTAAAAAAGAACTGCAAATAGTGCAAGATTTCCAAAATGAATTTTCATTGACAAAATTCTAATGTTTCCAGGAATGTGAGATCCAAGAGGAAATTAGAGATTTCACTTGTTCATTTATTTCATTAAAACTGCAAGTGCAGGTGCAGAACCTGTTTTTCAGATCATATTATGCTATGGGCTTTTTTATTTATTTTATATCTTTGTACTACCAGAGCCTGTAGCAACTTAAACTCTTCTGAGATTGTATTGCATGTGGAACTTAAGCCACGTTTCAACTTACATCTGGAGATTATATGGTATGCCAACTATTTCAAAACGTTCAATTTCAAAATCCACCCCAATGGTCGCCTTGTAATCTCGTTCAAAATGATCCCTACAGAACCTGCAATGAAGGAATGGGCAAGGATGAAGTTTTAGTAACTCATGGCTACAAATAGCTGCAAAGTAACACTAAGATAAATTATACAGAAAAGAACTAATAGTGGAGCGGTTACATTGTGCAGAAGCATTTATAAAAACATTGAGACATCAAAAAATAAAAAAAATAGTGAATAACAAACTGGAAAGTACATACATCTAGCAAGTCCTCAGGATGAAATAAGAATCAAAACAATTTTTTTGCGCTGTCTAGGAGAGGCAGCATCAAATTTTTAGTTACAGAATAATATATTTTGGGTCACAAATACAAAAGGAACATGTGATTATTAATGAGATTAATAGCCAGCAAGATTCCTTTGGAACACAGAAATAATTGAAAATGCAAACAGACAGAATGCAATTACAAGCTACAGAAATTCAGAGCTCTGTTCACCAAATTTGCAAGGTCTGGCAAATACTGCACTATATCATATTTGATTGAATATATATTCAGTTCAGATTCCTGAAAGCTTTACTGCAACAAGTGCTACGCTTTCAGCTTGGAAAAGAACTGAACCAATCCATCTGCTGCAATACACCATACCTGTGGATGAGGCTCGTTTTCCCAACATAGACGTCGCCAACCACAACCACTTTGGATATTTTCAGCCTGTTAGGAATATTCAAAATATTTCATGCTTTTAGTAGTAATTTCAATATTGTCACTGTAGCAATTCTGATGTAGATCCTTAAGTTGCGAGTGATTAATGCATCTGCAACTCCAGCTTACTTGAATGCAGAAGGATCAGAGTCTTAAATAGTAAGAAAGAAAAAGATCAAAAACTCCAGAGCAGAATTAGCCATTTCTTACTTTGCATATAATTTCTATGGGGCAGAGAGACCTTATTAGAAATGCTTTCAAGGAAAGATTATACACTTGGTAGTTTGCACTTAAGACCATATAGCATCTACATCCATAGAGCTCTTCAAAAGTACAAGTTTATATTTTTCTGCCACTAAAATTAATTATGAGTTTTTCATTGACTTAAATAGTATAGAATCAAATCTTAAGTGCACAAATATGGAATTGCTGATAATAAAATAATTTGCTGATAATAAAACCCATTGCAGAATCTGTCTCTGGGAAAAAAATAATGGTCAGAGCCAACACATTTTCTGACTACCTGAAATAACATTAATCTGAAGCTTGCCTCATGCAAATAATCCTCTTTGCTCTGGGTTCTCCCGCAGAATACAGCAGATGGGCTGGAGGTGACTCACCTGCACTCTTAAAATTGAAATGTAGTGTATCTGTCAGGAGATACAGGTGGATAAATGAGTGTACAGTATTTGTTGACTGAAACTTGGATTGACATCTCCCCTGCACATGCTACAAAAATGGCTTAGGAGGTTTAATATTGTTCTGTATCAAAGAATGGCTTTTTAAACAAAAGATTCACTCTTGTATTGAATGCTGTATCTGCTTATATCTGGTTTAACTCACTGCAAACTAAATCTACTACAGGTGTGTGTTCTGGGAGAGAGATGACTAGAAAAAAATTTAAAGAACATTAGAATTCAAGATTTATTTTTCATTAGAATTTTAGTCCAGAATTTTGCTCCAGTTTTAAGGAAACATTTAAGACAACTTCTCAGCATGGATACTTTTAAAATATTAAAGCTAGATTCTTATGTGCTACAGGCAACTTAAAACTGCTGTGTTTATATCTGCTCCAAAGCCTTTATCTAGTTCTTACTTGGTACACTCAGTATGCAGTCCTTTTGTACTCTCTAGTGGTGCCAGTACATCTGTTCTTGTCCTTGCAAATGCTCTAGGACTTGCTTTTCATGCTGACTTGCATGGCCAAAATTCAACACTAATTTTAAACGGTTAATCCTTTAAACTAAGTTATCTGTTACTAAGTAACAACTCTGTTTCTTTAACTTCACTTAAGCCAGGAAGAAAAAGATCTTTAAAACATATAAAGAAGCAGTATTTCATTCATTTACTGTGAAATGGTATAGAAGAACCGTGGAGACAGTCACAGTGGAATGCTCAACATGTGGTATCAGGAAAAGCTTATGGAGGAGTCAGGCTATAAAGAGGTTAAAACAGTTGTGTCTCATTGCACACTTGGGTTATTAGAAACTTGCCCAGCTGTTCCAGTGCTCTGCTGACAGGCAGTTCTGAGCTGTGCGTGGAAGTGGTCTTTGATCTGCAGACACGCCTCAGGAGTGTACCACTGGAGACACAAGAGAACAGCTACTGAGATAAAGTCCATAATGCCTATTGTCAACAAGCCAAATCAGCAAGGTGAGACAGAAAAGGAGATTACTTCAAAAAGCTTGTGAAGCACAGAGATACTCCAGCTCATGAAAAGGGACAGTCTGGGTTAGAAGGCAGTAAGGCTGATGCAAAGGTATGTTTGTACAGCTCCACCAACTATCAGAGCCCTAATGAACTTCCACAGTAAATATATTTGTCAATCAGTTTGTACAATATTAATTATCTTAAATAATTCCAATAATCTAAGACATTCAAGAAGAACACAAGTGGGAATGCATCACTAGAAAATCATTTGGACTACAAGCCTTTTAGATCTCTTACTTGTGAGAAGCACTGATTTTATTGCTAATTTTCCATTAAGCTTAGCAGGCTACAAACAAGGAAAGCATGTTTTGCCTCATATTTACTTAAAATAACAGTGACACTTTTCATAAAATTAAAAGCAAAATAGGAGGTTGAGATTGAGAATGAAAGAAGTCCAAAATCCTCTCAAAAGAGTGCTTTGAACAAAATCAAAAACAGAATGGCAATTCTTTGTCCTTACCTGCCCCTAACCATTCCATTCTACTTCAAGGATAAAACTCTTTGGGGGTAAGATGATCTTCACTATCAGTTTTCCTACAGTGCCTTCTACATTTGATCTACAGTATGACTAAGTTTCCTACTCACACAGAAGATTAAAATTGCTTCAAATCCTTCAAGTGAAAACTCCACATAGACCTAATTAGTCTTTCTGAATATTAAATAACAGCTATGGTTCTAATTTCCTCTCAGTGTAGGAACTCTGTAAGCGTGGTAATTATAAATGTTTGGCTAAAAGAACAGATATTGTAAGGTAACACTTCTGTTGCAAAAGTCACTTTCTGTTAAGGTTAGAGGAAGAAACCTGGTTTATTATTAAGTGCACCAGCACCGAATGGGAAAACAAGGTCACATTCACCTCTGAAATAAATACTTAAATGATTTGCAGTTTTAACAGAAGACATCAAATATACATCAAACCAAAATACTATTAGCACAAGGGAAAGGCATGGCAGGTGATACATCCTCTGAGCAAAGTGATAAAGAACTCTTACCTTAGGAAACTGGGAGATTATTCTGTCCCTGCTCACTGGGGGAACCATATGCTTTGGGTTGGACCTCATCCTCCAAACTCAGGTCTGTTCTGCCAGATAGAAAACATGCAAAGTGAGACAAAATATTGAGGAATTGTCTCAACGCAGGAAAAACATTAAAAACAGAAAATGAACAGTCCTTTTGGACTTGTTTCCTCCTAGTACAACTGGCAGCTCTTTGACTTCGTGTTAAAGAAAACATGTTTCTCATGAAAAAGGATGATTTCTGTCTGCAGAAATATAGAAAGAAATAGTGGCTTTTTCTAAGTAGAAAAGCACTGAGTAATTCTGGAGGAGGACAGAGAACTGTTCACTTAATTCAACACAACTGCTATAGTTTAGTCCTCAAATGACTTTGTAGTGCTTAATTTAAAAAGCCCACACCTCACTATTTTAAATGCTACTGCATAAAGCATGTTTATTAATGTTAGGGCATATCAGATTCCATTAGGTCAGAAGGGGAAAGGAGAAACAACAAAGTTGCCATATTTCTTGGCACAACAACAAACTTCCACTCAACATCAGCTCATAAGGAACAAAATCAGTAGTTAGTCTGACATGGAAGAACAGTGTTCACAGGAAAACTACAAGCGAATCAAGATATCTCACTTGAGAAGCAATGATATCGTTATGAAAAGAAGGGTTGTGGGTTATTGAGAGGGAACTCTTTGTAAGGCACCATTACTGGCATTCAGAAGAATCTAACGAGAGCAATCCTCATGCAGCAAACACAAGGAAGGACTCACCGTGCAGTGCAGATGCGGCAGGATCCAGCCACACGAGCCGCCTGCAGCCGCGTGCCCATGGCAACAGGCTTGCAACAGTTCCCTTCCTCTCCTCCTCTCACGGACTGAAAAGGCGGGGTTGGAATGGAGTAATTTAACCATACGCAGGGCTCTGGTTTTAGAAGAACAAACCTGTTATAGTGGCCATGCAGATTCCTCTAATATTATGCATATTAGCAACTATAAAGAAAAAAAAACCTCCAAAGGTTTTGTTTTGCTCCCTTCCAACCCCAGAATTTCAGCTTTCTTTCATTCCAGCCTTAGAGTCAGGATGTGCATGCAACTATGAGCCATTTTGAATCACATAAACGTCTCTAGTAATTACCAATCTTGACTGATAGCATATCAAACAATAAAGATAATAAAGAATAAAAAATCCCATTGCTCTTCTGTATTGCCTAAGTGTTGTTAATCAACTTAGTTTAGACTGCATTTAGGATGCTAAAAGGTTTTGCTGTTCATTTCACTTGGATATAAACTTCCAAATTTCAGGAAAAAAATAAAAGCTCTCACATTCAAATAATCGTATTTCCATAATGCTGCAACAGGCTTGGAGTTCTTAACATCCAGGAGACAAAAGTCTCCCATTTAAAAAAAAAAATTAAAGGACAAGTAAATAATAAAAAAAGAAAGCGTGCAGCATATAACAAAAACCCTACAATTGTTTTGCAACCATAAGCAAAGAATAAAGTTCAACAAAACTACCAGACCACTACTTAGAATTACCATTTTATTCTCTTTTGTGAGGAATATCTTCTGTGAGGGATCACTTCAGGCACTCATGTGATTCGATCCACACTGAAAGCAAACCAACAAACAAACAAAATACCCAAACTTACAGCCGATGTGTCACTGAGGACCAAAGATGACAGTGTTTATTTTTAACCATATACACATTTCTATCAATCATACTCCTGACTGCTCCAAACCTGGATCCGCTTCGTGATGTGCTCCAAAATAACAGTTCTGAAAGCAAAAAAAGAAACCCTCCTGGTTGGTAGCAGCATCGCACACACTGGATTTGCTCCATTTTCTCCTAGTTCTGGCTCAGCACATCCTCAGCATGTACCAATCTGTCCTGAGTGCACAGCATGACTCACTGCTCGTCTCCTGGAGCTCTTTCACAAACTAAGCTAGGAAAAAATAATCAATTTAACCATCTCAGTGAATCCAAAGTCCAGGAGGGACCAAGGTAAACAAGGAGAAGTGTTTTAAAATCAACAGGCCATTTTCCTTTGGTGTATTTCAACAAAGTTTCTCTCGCAAACACACAATTACCAAACCAACAAATTAGCTGCAACGTCAGGGGAAACAAGCCAGTGATTTAAGAAACACAAAGCTGCTGAAAGTGCTGAGAATTATAGGCACTGAGATCCAGGTTCTCTCTTCCCACAGAGCTCAGTCACAAGTCTCCATGGCATCACATCGCTCCCATCAACGGCATCAGCCACAGACAAAAGATTGAAGGCTTCAACTCTGCATAAAATCACTTAATGCTATGACCACTGATTAAAATCACTATACCAAGGTGTGGTGAAAAAAGGATGAGATGAGTTAAAGCTGAGGGACGTGAGAAAGCTTTGACCTTTGCGTGTGCCATCTACTTGGACAAAAGTTCACATTCTTCTATAGAAATGGTGAAGTTTCAAAAGTCTTTGGTTTGTAAATATCTAATTCATTCAAGGAAACTAACTTCCACTTCAATGAATTTGTTCTTATAAAAAAAAGAAAAAATAAAAAAATAAAAAAAAGGAAAAAAAAGCACCCTTTCCCGAGGATATTTTTTAAAGCAGTACTTTTCTTCTGTGGATCTTGGTGATCAACAAACCAGAATCTATTCCAGTGTTTTACTACATTAGCTCCTTTACGGAGAAGGCAGTTGGCGTGCGCTCCCACACGGCAGCGATTCCCGCCCTTTCCTCACACGCGGACCCACCAAGCGCCGCTCGCCGCTCAACTCCCCTCGCCCCACGCTAGTAGCGGCCACACATTCCGATTCACCAACCACGCCGCGGACGCCACTGCCTTTCAACAACCACCGCCGAACGCGCTGCTTACGCTATTGAGGCAAAGCTAGAAACAGTAGAGGAAAGGAGCACGGGGCCGCGCAGTTTTTATTCACAGAGCTAGGCTTACGCAAAGGGCGGGTTGCTGTGGTAACCAGAACGCGGGCGCGCAGGCGCCGTAGAGCAGCAACCGGGGCTCGGCCTGAGAGCGGCGTCTGTGATTTTACGGTCATTTGGTTTGCTCTTAAGAAACAGATGCTATTGTTAAGTAGGATTTTATATATATATGATTTTCTTTTTCCGTGCAGCTGTGTTTTGTTGTGTTGAGCAGTTTCCAGGGTTTCAGGCTGCTCCATTGCTGCGCTGAGGGCGGCGGGCGGTCAGCGATTCTTTCCAGGATCATTAACGAATTCCGAGGGCAGGTTTCCACTACAAACCTTTAGAAAGACCGTGTTTCTGAAAAATGGCTTTTTGATAGAATTTGAGTCCCTTCGGTAGCATGGAACATTCTAAAGGGGTTTTAACCCTTTAAAAACACTTCTCTCACAATTTCAAGCTTTCTCCTTGCTTCTTCTCTTGATATTTTACAGTATTCAGTAGAAGCTCAAACCAGAAAGAACAGCTCATCTGATGAACCATCCCAGCCTCTTCTTTCACAGCTTCCTAAAACCTCATGCATGCTAGAATTGTGCTTTGAAGAGACAGAACCATTCAGTTTTAATGCTAATTAATAGTGGTGGCTTTGGTACATCAGTTATTTGTCACCAAGCAGAGTCATTTTACAGTATTTTTTAAGTATAAGAAGAATCCTCCCCAGACAAATCAGGAATGGCAAGTACTCTTGTCTCAGCCAAGCTTCCCCCTGATGTAGATCCAACAAAAGCTCCTATTGCATTTGGGAGGAGAGCTCTGCCTAAACTGAATGGAGAGATACAATCTCCTGAGGTGCTGACTCAGCAACGGGCATTGATGGCACTCTGTGATCTGGTCCATGACCCAGAAAATATCTACCAGGCAGTCCAAATAGGTAAGTGGTTTGCTGCCATAAGCTTTGACACACTGGTGGTGACAGAGAGGGATGTGCTGTACTGTGTTGTCCTGTTTTTACTCCTGCAGTATAATTGATGAGAGAGAAATGGCCAGGAAGATATCCTGGTTTTAATCTCTACTTGTTTTGAACCGTAAAAAGTAGAGAATATTATGTTATCATTAAAAAAAAAAAAAAAAAGAAAGAAAAAAAAGAAAAAAAAAAAAGAAAAAGAAAAAAAAGAACAATCCACACCTCTTTAAAGACAGGCTAAGGGAACTGAGCTTGTTCAGGCTGGAGAAGACACGGCTTTGGGGAGATCTCATTGCCACTTTCCAAGACTTAAAGGAAGCTTTGAAACAGGAGAGAGACTTTTTACATGAGCAGATGGCGATAAGAACAGGGAGTGGTTTTACCCTAAAGGAGGGGACATTTAAATTAGATATTAGAAGGAAATTCTTCATTCTGAGGGCAGTGAGGCCCTGGCAGTGCTGTCTAAAGAAACTGCGAGTGCCCCACAATTAGAGGCCTTCAAAGCAAAGTTGGATGGGGCCCTGGGCAGCCTGATCTGGTGGCTGGCAAGCAGCCCATGGCAGGGCGTTGGGACTGGGTAGGCTTTAAGGTCTCTTCCAACTTAAGCCCTTCTGAGATACTATAACTATAGAGAATGAAAAAAATAGCAACAACGACCCCCTTTTATATTTCTTCATTCAACAGGTATCTACCTGCATCTTGTTGAGTACCTCAAACATAAAGTACCACTCGACCTCAGTGGACTAGTGATTCATTTAGTGATTAACCAAAATTAATTTGCAAGGGCTATGAAGTCACTTTTTGGCATTCGTTCCTTCAGCATTGGATAGCACGGCACACTCAGCTATAACTACTGGAGAGCCAAAACATCAGAGCTTTACACAGAATATTTCTCAGAAGTCTCATGATAATTGTAGAATGAGACTGTAACGGGAGCCTCAGGAACTTCATAAGAAATTAAAACTAAATAACCAGATTTTTTATACTTCTCAGGATTAAATCTGCTCACTATTTTTAATTAATATGTATCCTAACATTAGGAATAATCTTAAATTTGCAGTTGAGGGAAAAAAAAAAGTTATGCAAGGTTATCTTCATAACATTTTTTAGTAGTCAGTTGTGTATTTACAGTATTGTTGTGTAAAAATGAAGTAGTCTTTAGGTTTGTCACTATCACACACATTTTCTTCATAAGAGGCACCAATAGTCATACAAAATAATGTAATCGTTGTTCAGTTAGCATTAGTTTTTTCTTCTCCAAAAGAAAGAAAAAACTAATTTCTTTTCTCTACTGCCAAACCAAGTTTATTTCAGCACGTGGAAGGTAAGGCTCTGTGCTCTTACACAGCCCTTGCGAGACTTAACGTTTACAGAAACGTAGTCAATCTGCAAACACCCACTTTTCTGAAACAGTAACAGCACCACTGACATCAGTATACCTTTGTTTTTAGAGTTATATAACTTCCTAACTCTTAGCAAGGTTAGAACGTAATCAGGTACAGAATTCAGCAGCTTGTTTCTAGTATTAACCAACACAAGGTTAATTCAATGGGAACTTTCCATTATTCTCATCAGCTGTCAAATCAGACAATTATGTGGGGTTGATATATACATTTTTATTCTAATATGAATACACTTCAGAATTGACAACAGGGCATTTTTGGCTTTAAGTTTCTGCTATACTTGCAGTACCACACTGAGAATTTCAACTCCAGGACAAGATGAAAAACCAGACTGCTTGCACTTGAAGTTGTGAGGTAGAAATGAGCATTGCACTATCAGACTAGTGCTGAAGTTATAAATACTAAAATCAATGGTTGTGTCACACAGGTTTCTTGGAGAACTTGAAGACCTTGCTGCAGCATCATGACAGTACTGTCCGAGAGAAGACAACAGAAATTCTCTATATAGTGTCGATGCATAATGTTGGCAGGTAGGAATAATTCCTACCTAATGGTATAGGAAGTAATAAAGAAGTTTCTGTGAGAAATAAAAACAGAATTTCTAAGTTTTTGCAAGATAGAAGCAATGAAAACAACTTATATTTAATATAATATTTAATTAGAGATTATGCAACAGCCAAGTATTTGAGTTATATTATGCTTAGTTAAATCTGTTCTCCAATGTTTATAGGCAAGGATTGATACAAAATGCAGTCATACCTGTCCTCACTGAACTCTTGGATGACCCAGAAGACATTTGTCGGAAGAACACACATCAAGTGTTTGACATGATGGCCAAGTTACCTGAAGGTAGGGGATTTTTCAGTAATTAATTATTCAAAAGGGGAAAACAAATGACTTCAGTGTTCTTTCATCTCTCTGCCTTTAAAGAATTCTGCCTCGTACCGGTGCAGACAGATAGGTATCATCCTGTGATTATAATAGATCATAGTAGATCATAATAGAAACTTCAAGGAAGCAAAGACTTAATAGAATAAATATTACTAAGTTTGTTTTTTTGTTTTATTTTTAATACCGATCAGTAGTCATTATTATTTTTTACAGTGGTTATTAGTTCTTTCAAAACTCCATATTTCAGTAATAAGCCTTGCTGTTCAGTCTGTACTGAACTTTATTCATATCTATAAACTTCAGATTACTGTACCTCTAGTCACATCTAATGCACGACCTTATCAATCGTCTCATTTTACTTAGGAATTTTCAGTTTAAACAGGGAAACCACTTCACAGCTTAGGAACTTCTGCACAAAAGGCTTTTAAGATATGAATTTGAGGCTTAAACTTGCAAAGTACAAATAATGTTGTATGCAAACACCTATTTGGCATGAGGTTCTTAAGATACAACTTTTTCCACTTTGCTTAAGTATCTTTTCTTAATAGTTTGATATTTTATGATCTTTTTTGAACAGGCTGCACAAATTTGAGCTGCAATTCTGTGACTGTGAGGTCAGAGTTTTGACAGCTAGGAGTAGATATTCACTTTGGCAATAGCAAAGGATGAAGAATCATAGAAGACTAACGGTTAAATATTTGCTGCTTTAGTTTATGTCTACTATTGCAAGTGTGCCTTGTTTTCTTGAATGTTTCAGTTTGTAGCAAATTTTGAAGTTAGTGAAGTTAAGAACAGTCAACATGCATTCAGTCAGTCGTACTTCTGAAGTTCTGTACTTCTGTACTTCTGTTTCAGCTGCTTCAGAATTCAACTTGGACACAGGAAAAGCTTTCTTGTTGGGTTTTTAAAAATCCTTTTAAATATTCACTTCTATTATGTCAGTAGAAGTTGAAGGGAATTTACTTCTCACCTATGTTTATGTTTTAACGTACTATATTCCTTACTCTGTGGAACTATTCACAAAAGCTGAATTCAAGTGCATTTTATCTAGTAATTTGACATATATCACTTGCTTGGAAGTTTGGGTGTCAGCAGCTGCAACTGGTTAACAGTTTGCTTCTAAATAATGGTCTTTTGTGAGCAGACTGCCAGTTCAACAGGTTTTAAAAAAATGAACTAAAAATGAGAGTTACATAGAAAGCATTTTATCACAATCATCATTTCTGCTTAGAGAAATATTATAGCAGTAAGCAGCACTAGCTCTTGGTGGTACCAAAACATAAAAAACTGCTTATTAAGAATTCAAAATACATTCCCCAGAGTAGAGGATATGTAATTGTACATCATACTGCCACTTAGAGATCAAGGACAGGTCTACCACCACTGTTCCATCTGTGTCCCTGCAGGCATCTGAATATTTCATCTTAGCTCAGGAGTCACTGATGGGAGTTATCAGGGCTGTACAACACCAATTCAGTGACAATGTGAGATTCTTCTATACAAGGAGAAAAGAGTTACCTCCTGGAGTGAAAGATTATTCAACCCCTGCTGCACTGAGAGCTGTCTCTCTCCTTGGAACATTGCCTTTGGTTGAAGGCAGAGGTTTCACAGAAGCTCTGAAGTGAGCAGAAGTCTGCCATATAAAAGAGCAGCTTCCAAATCCTGTTACAATCCCAACTTAGTGAAAGTTCAGAAGACAGACTACAATTCTGAGGACAGCTGATTCGAAGTATCTCATGAGCCAAGACTAATAGCTGTTTTCCCATTTTACCTTTCTGTTAGATACTGGTGGCAGATAAGAACTGGGTTTTCCAAATCAAGTTATCAGTAACAAACTTTTTTTTTCCAGAAAACAGTTCTAGAGTTTTAGAAAGTAGAATAGGCTAACGAGTAGCATAAGGGGAAAAGTATTTAGTTTTAGAATTAGTTATTTAGTAAATGCTGTATATCAGTGCCTTCATTACAATTTCCTTACAGATGTAAGTAACAACAGTTAATTAATTAGAAACCTGCTATTATAGTCTGTATAGAATTTCTTTCCCTTCATTAGTTCTCAGTATAACCCTGGTATTTACAGTACTCACGTACTCTATTTCTGTGGGCCAACTCTTTCCCTATTCTTTTTTTCTCTTTATGAGAAATTTAAAGTGGATGTAGAGGAATTATTTACATCTGTGATGCAAACAGAACTTTAATCTCTGATCCTATACTCAGAACTCTCAACCAGCTCACATCCTCTTTATGCTTTCCTTGAATTATGCCTTTTTAGGTGAAATTGTCTTCTAAAGTTTCATTTCCTCAGCTGTGAAATGATCCCAGATTTGACCATTTCCTTTTTGCTACTAAAAATGCTTTAGAACTTATTCAAGATAGAAATCCTTGCCATGGTTAAGCTAGACTTGAATAGCATTCTTCAGACAACATTTTTATATAGCATAGTTTGACATTTGGGGGGAAGGAAGGGGAATAAAAAACAAAATAACCTGATCCTCAGAAGATGTGAAATTATTTCTCAATCAGTGTAATACGTCAAACGAATCATCTTTGCCTGGTAATTGTCACCTTCAGCCACTCAAAAAGCTATCTAGCTTCATCTGTCTTCATATTCCCTTCAACAGTTCTCATCTAGATAACCTTGTGTGACACAATGGAAGGCCTGATAGTGCCTTCTACCAGAATAGAAGCATGCTTGTAAAGGTGTTAGACATGATTGAGTTTAGAAAGCAATATTGACAAAAGCAGCTTACCTTTTCCAAAGGCTGATAATCTCAAAAAGGACACAATCTTCAAATAAAGGCACACTTTTTCAGTTGCTAACCCTTAAATGGGGGTGAGGAGGGGCAGACCCCAGGGTCTGGGCCCAACTCTTCTGGTCATTTGGGCTCATTGTCTGCACCTGTGCTCCCTGGCTTAGCCACGCCTTCTCACTTTGTGCACAGTCACTGGTTCAGTGTGTGGCCTAGCAATTCCTGTATACCTTGTATCACCTGGAAGAAGTCAGCAACTAATAAAGCATTCCCCAGTTATGTTTCTGATGTTTTCTATGGCAATTTCCAGGACCAATAAAGCAATAGGCTTCATACTAGCCAAAAAGGAACATAAGCTGTACGTGCGCTTGGCATGTATTCAATAGAGGATAAAAGAGGAAAAAGAACCAGTAGCAGGAGAAAATGAACACTGGCCAGGAGACATTACTAGCAAAACTTCAACTCTTCGTGAAAACAATTAGTTGAGATTCAAGAAGGTACTTAACATTACTGAATATTATGCAAGGATAAGTGACCTTGGCAATAATAAATGCAAAAAAAAGCTGTGAAAGAAAGAATTATTTTTCCCAGGATGTGTACAGTACCAGAAATATTTAATAGTTCTTAGCTATAATCTTTCCTGTATTTTAAGAGTACTTAATCCTTTTAGACAAAAATTGAAGTGGATTTGATGACACTGGATTTTGAAAGCTTACCAGGACCTCTTTTTTGGAGAAGTCCAACAAATTAAAGTTCCTCTGTCTTTACTGACCCTCACTGTCCTCAATATTATACTTTTACAAAATCATAATGAATCAGTTCTATGAATAAGGACTGTTTAAAGATACTGTTTTCCCTTTGAAACCTGTTTTGTTGTGTGAAATGCACGTAATGGAAGGACAGATGGCATTCTTATTGCAGCAGATGGAACATCTCTTCTGTGAATGTCATTGTTGTCCAGGTAAAGTGACATCCCAGCTCTTCTAATACAGGTTTTTTTTTCACTGTATCACTGATAAACCTGAGAGCTGAGGAAATAGTTGCCAATTTAATTGCATTCTTTATTCAGGTGGAAGACTGAGAGCTAGGGAGTTTCATTTCAGGGCCTGTCTTGGATACAGACTTTTTGGTTTTAACCTTCCCACACCTCAGTCTTCTTACATAATGGGAAAATAAAATCATTTGATTTCTATGTAAAACAATTTAATGCCTTAGAAAAGGGTAGCCATGAATTACTTAGAACATCAAGATCAAAAACATCATAGAAATTAAATTACTGGAAGGTTAATAGCAAGTCATTGCTATTCAAAGAATGATTATATGAACTGATTAAACTTCATTATTTACTATTTTATTCCATCACATTCTTATGTGTAAATTAACTACAAACATGTAGTAAAATGCACTGCTTCGGTATCTCTTTTATCTCCCAAAAATCAGAATTTGAGGATAAATGCAATTAACTTCTTTTATTTAGAAAAATCTTTATTCTTTTGATAAAATGCCCTAGGTTTTTCACTGCTATTGTAAATTGCCTACAGTACTTATAAGGACCTTCTCAACTGAATAATTTTTTTGTAATTGATAAAGTATTTCTTATTCTCTTCAACATTAACTATGCTTTTCGTTTTGCTTTTTTTTCAATCAGCTTTCTTATCTTGAAGCTGTGCTCTAATAAAAGCCAGTATTTTCTTGTCACTCTTTTCACCAGCCTGAAATGGCCACTGTACTATGAAAGCCAGAGGTGAAAGGGGCATACCAGCTCACAGTCCATTAATGGGAAAAGGAAGGCCAGGCTCATTGTAAATCTTTTCCACAATTTTCACAATTAGCTAATAAAAGTGTATCACACTATAGAAAGCAATTTAGAACGGAAACGCTATGGTAGTCCTCTCAATTTTCTTTCCTGTTGCTTCTTAATCTTGATCTATGGCTTCTCTTCTAAAATTGCTACTAACGATCTCCCAAAACCATCTAACAACAACAGGCAGTCATAATTTTTAAAGACATTACATGGGAAGACATCCCTTGAAACTTGCAGAGTTGGTCAAATGTAATTGCTTAAGATTGAAATTTCCTGAATGTTAGTGAATAAATTGAACAAAACATTCTGGAACCAATTAATAAAACTCAGTATTCTTAAATGAATCATAACAGTATTCAATTAAGTAACTGGTATATCATAACACTAAGTAATGAACACACTATAGA